ATGATGATGGATAAGTACTGCACACAATCGGAGGTGAACAAGCTAGAATCAGAATTTCTGAGATTAAAGCAAGGTTCGTTGTCGGCTCAAGAATATGTTAACGATTTTCTTGAGAAAGCGAGGTTCGCCAGTTACCAGGTGGCTACCGAGAAGAGAAAGATAGGTTGCTTCAAAGATGGATTAAGAATCGAAATCAAACGGTACGTGGACATGACTAAACTGACCACATTTGTCCAAGCAGTGGAGATGGCGAAGGTGGCAGAGGAGAACCACGCCAGGGAGAATTGTGATAGAAGAAATGCAAAGAGAAGATGGGAGGGATCGAACAAGTTCAACAAGAAACCAAAATGGACTCCGACTCTAGCAAAAACACGAAGTGAGGGATTCACTATTCCTCCATGTAACAAATRCAACAAGAGACATAGGGGAGAGTGCAGAGCAGGGAGCCTGACATGCTACAAATGTGACAAACCTGGGCATACCGCGCGGGAGTGCCCGAAAGGAAAAACTTGTTATGAATGTGGGGCTACGGGACATTTACGACCTGACTGTCCAAAACATCGAAATGGTGCGACACCCTACGTAAAGACAGTGAATAATGGATTTGGGAAGAGATYAGAAAATAGGAAGGAGCTACCTAAGGGACACGGCCGAGCTTACAACATGACTTTGGAAGAGGCCAAGAAAACACCCGACGTCGTATCTGGTATGTTCCCTATCAACAATGTGTATGCACATGTATTATTTGATTCGGGTGCAAATGGTAGTTTTGTGTCTACTACCTTCTGCCACTATCTGAATTGTAGACTAGACAAAACCTACACTGTAGAAACAGCCGACGGTAGTCAGTGTAAGGTAGACAAAGTATTTGATGAATGTACAATTGTTATAGAAGGTAAGGATTTCCCTGTTAGGCTTATGCCAATGTGTTTAGGGGGTTTTGACGTGGTCTTGGGGATGGATTGGCTGTCCAACAATCATGCGCAAATAGTATGCAATAAAAATATGATCAAGATTCAAACTCCGGAAGGAGAAACAATTCATGTTTACGGTGATCGAAAGAAGTGATGCGTAGGGTTAATCAATGTAGTTAAGGCGAATAGGTGTCTGCGGAAGGGATGTGTGGCTTACTTGGCATACACCATTGATGCCAAGCTCGAAAAGAAGACAATACATGATGTTCCAGTGGTGAAGGATTACCCAGAAGTATTTCCGGATGAATTACCGGGAATACCACCGGAACGTCAAGTAGAGTTCCAAATCGATTTGGTACCAGGTGTGGCACCAATCCAAGGGCGCCTTATCGTTTAGCCCCAACAGAAATGCAAGAGCTGATGAAGCAATGCAAGAACTCTTAGATAAAGGGTTTATCAGGCTAAGCTCGTCGCATGGGGAGCACCGATTTTATTCGTCAAAAAGAAAGACGACACGATGAGGATGTGCATCGATTATCGGGAGTTGAACAAAATCATGATAAAGAACAGATATCCATTGCCAAGGATCGACGACCTCTTCGATCAGTTGCAAGGAGTTAGCTATTTCTCGAAAATCGATTTAAGATCGGGTTACCATCAGTTGAAGGTTCGAGAAGAGGATGTGTCGAAGACCGCTTTTAGGACTCGTTACGGACATTACGAATTTGTAGTAATGCCGTTTGGGTTAACAAACG